TTTAAAGGCGTGGATTTGTAAAAATATTTTTTTCAGGATCCTTTAAGGGCGTGGATTTGTAAAAATATTTTTTTCGCGATCCTTTAAAGGCGTGGATTTGTAAAAATATTTTTTTCAGGATCCTTTAAGGGCGTGGATTTGTAAAAATATTTTTTTCTGGATCCTTTAAAGGCGTGAATTTGTAAAAATATTTTTTCTGGATCCTTTAAAGGCGTGGATTTGTAAAAATATTTTTTCTAGATCCTTTAAAGGCGTGGATTTGTAAAAATATTTGTTTCGGGATCCTTTAAAGGCGTGGATTTGTTAAAATATTTTTTCGGGATCCTTTATTTATTTTTCAAATATTTCAATTCATTCTATAACTCTTTAGTAATGTATTCTCTTCATAGGTGTCAAAAGTTCCGGTAAGGCAGCCTATTTTCTTGGGGTTTTTCCCTATGTGGTACTCATCGTTTTACTCGTAAGAGCTGTTACCCTACCCGGAGCATTGGAGGGAATTATTTATTTCTTTAAGCCTCAATGGGCAGAGTTATTGAATCCATTGGTAAGTAGGAAAGGCCACTGCAATTAATAATAATATTTTTTTTTGTTAGGAAAAAATTCATTAATTTTTCTCAGCTTATTTATATATTTATTCAAAATAACTAAACTTTTTACAATACAGAAAAATATCTCCCCTTTAATATGACACCTTATTTGTGTTAATCGGTCAGTTGGTTAAGAAGTTACAGCTAGTGGAAGATAATTCTGAAGGATGCTGATTTTCTATTATATAACACAAGTTTATGTATTTATTGTCAATATGGAATAAAACTTTAAAGTTCCCTCTAAACATTGGTGCAAATTTGATAAAAATCGGTTAAATAGTCGCCGAGTTATTAGCATTTGAATTTAACCATGTTCCGAAATACACCCTACTGATCGGTGCTGGGCGCCTATTACCTGAAAATTAAAAACCACACAAAAATTCAATTTTTAATAATGCGAGTTTTTCTTTTATGATTGCTGGTTTATGAAGGAAATTGTAGCATACTTATAGGCCAAACACTGGCTGGATGTAGCAGAGATCTGTAATTCATAAAAATTGTCTGTAACTTCTTAACCAACTGACCGATTAACACAAATAAGCTGTCATATTAAAGGGTAACATGTTGTCTTTAATATAGTATGGACAAATTTTATATTAAACCCTTATTAAAGATTGTAATTTTTAATAGTATACTTTAAAAGAATTTTTTGTCTACAACATTTCATATTTTGTAAATTATGAACAGCTATCGAAATAGCTAGAGTTCTTAGCTTTCATGTGATACCAATTTTATTAAAATACCACCAGTAGTTCAAAAGTTATGCGACAAATACCAAAACATTAAATTTTTTCATTTTCACCAGTTCAACCCACTGCATCAATAGATGGCGCCCCAGTCGCAAAATTGACAGGTCGTAAGGGAAAATCAAGGCGATGGTAAAATTTGAATAACTTTCGAATGACTTGAGATATTTTAACAAATCCAACGGTTATTTAAAGCTTCAAGTGTTCTCTATAGCTACGAAATTTGTTTGTTTTAAAAAATTTCATACAAAGTTTCGAATTAACGCTTGATATTATTTTAAAGCATAGTTTACCTATTTCTGATAGAGATTTGAAATTTCTTGTAGCACACAGATAATCTATGAGTTCTAAGCTTCATATAACCGTTTAAATCTCCCCGAAATCACAGTTCGTTCAAAAGTTATGCCAATTTTACGAATGCCTTGATTTTCCCTTACGACCTGTCAATTTTGCGACTGGGACGCCATCTATTGATGCAGTGGGTTGAACTGGCGAAAGCGAAAAATTTACTGATCTGCTATTTGTGGCATAACTTTTGAACAACTCGACGTATTTTAATAAAATTGGTGTCTAATGAAAGCTAAGACGTCTGGCTATTTCGAAATACATTAGTATTCTTTAAAATACGAAATGTTGTGTGTGAAAAATTACTTAGAAAGAAATGTTTCGAAATTGCCATATGAAAGAAGTTCAAAGTATCAAAATTGTCATATCTATAATAAAGAAAAATATCTCCCCTTTAATATGACACCTTATTTGTGTTAATCGGCCAGTTGGTCAAAAAGTTACAGCCAGTGGAAGACAATTCTGAAGAGGGCCCATAAGGAAAGGAGATAAGTTTGAACGAGTCGATTATATGATACCCTATAGTACTTCGGGGTATATACAAGAGATGTTTCGTGTAATTGGAATTAATACAGTGCTACTTTGTTCACATTCAACAAAAAATAGTCGATATTTCGATATATCTTTAGACTTTCACATAATGGCAATTTTCTCTTATATAACACGTGTTTTTATATATATTGCCAATATATAATAAAACTTTAGAACTTCTCCGTACCATGCGTGCAAATTTTATGAAAATCGGTTAAGTAGTCTCGGAGATATTAGCATTTGAATTCAACGATGTTCCGAAACATACCTACTGTTCGATGCTGTGCGCCTATTACCTGAAAATGAAAAACCCCACAAAAATGCATTTTTAAAAACGGCCAATTTTTTCTTACACATACGGGCCACTGTGTATGTGTGTAGTAGAGTTATGTTACATTAGATTTGGTGCATAAATACACTCACCTATCAATTTAAAAATCGGACTACATACAGACACTGTGTTTGGCCTAAAAGTATGCTCTGATTTTCTTAACAAACCAGCAGCCAGAAAGGAGAAAATGCCGTTTATGAAAAATGCATTTTTGTGTAGTTTTTCATTTTCAGATAATAGGAGCCCAGAATCAAACAGTAAGGTTATTTCGGAACATCGTTGACTTCAAATGCAAATAACTCGGAGACTACTTAACCGATTTTCATAAATTTTGCACCAATGGTTCGGGGAAATTCTAAAGATTTATTCCATATTGAAAATACATATAAAAACTTATGTTATATAAGAGAAAATTAGCATTATGTAAAAGTTCAAAGATATATCGAAATGTCGACTTTTTTTCTTGTTAAATGTAAACAAAGCTGTATAGCCGATTTGACTAGCCTTGGCTAAACCCCACATACATAATAGATCACTTTAAAAGTAGACGGACGGCTTGACACATAACTAATGTTTTCATAATGAGTGGACTATTACATTGTGTGGGAGAAGTACCCGAAGCATCGGACCGATGGGTCTCATCTTCGAACTTGATTTATGCTTGAAAGAATTTTTACGATGTGTATGTATCCTTATTGGCCAGAAGGCTGAGGGTATAAATATCGTCATATTTAGTATATTATATTCCCCAAAAAAACCTAACCTCCGAAAATTTTTTGAGGTTAGGTTCGAGAGAAAATTTTACTCAAGAATAATTTTTTTAGTGGATATTTTAAAATTATTTAAATTTAATTTCCCCTTAATTGTTCCTACATCTTTTCTTTCACCCTTAGGTTTGGTATGCTGCGGTGACCCAAGTATTTTTCAGTTTGGCCATATGTTTTGGTACCCTAATAACATATGCATCCTACAATAACTTCTCTCGGAATGTTTATAAGTATGTCTGCTGGATTGAATCCCCTACCCCTCTTTAATACTCATATACACCCTTCTCCCCCTCCATACCATTACAGCGACATTGTCATCATAACCACCATGGATTCCTGTTCCTCCATTATTGCCGGTTGTATTACCTTTGGCATTTTGGGCAACTTGGCCTATCAAACGGGCAACACCGATATTGCCAAAGTGGTTAAGGGTGGTGCTGGTCTGGCATTTATCTCCTACCCCGATGCTATAGCTAAATTTGATTTTATACCACAGGTAAGCTATTGAGGCTTACGGGAGCCACTTGGATGCTTTAAAACAAAACTACCTAAAAGGCATTTGCGGTTCTTTTCTTTTTAATGTTATTTGTCTTAGGTATTGGCAGTACTGTCGGCATGGGTAGTTGTATAATTAGGGTGAGATCGTTTTCATCGTATGGCAAATTGGCCAGTGGCTTTGATATTGGCCGTTGTGGGTTTCAGCATAAGCATATTGTATATGTGTCCGGGGGGTCAATTCATTTTGAATTTGGTGGATTTTTACGGGGTCTCCTTTACGGCTTTGATTTTGGCCATTGGAGAATTGTTGGCTGTGGGTTGGGTGTATGGTGAGTTTTGGGGATACATCTATTTAAAATATTTTTAAAAATATTTATTATTATTTTCTAGGTGTCAAACGTTTCTGTGAGGACATCAAATTTATGGTGGGCATTCGTACCGGCATCTACTGGCGTTTGTGTTGGGGTCTGATTACCCCAGGCCTTATGTTGGCTGTGCTAATCTATACTCTGCTGAATTTGGAGCCATTGACATATAAAAATGTGGATTATCCAACCATAGCACATGGTAAGGTTGGGGTATTTAAATAATTATTTTTTTATTTTTCATTTAAATGGCTCTTGTTTTTTTAATTTTGTTTTGAATATTTTCTAGTTTTTGGTTGGTGTTTGGCTGGCTTGGGCCTTCTACAACTTCCGGGCTGGGCTGTGTATGAATTTATGCATCAACCAAATCATTTTAATTTCAAAAAGGTAGGGGTTCCTTTTTATTATTTTTGAAACAGATATTTTTTATTGCTCCATTTTTTCGTTTTAGAAATTCTGTGCCATATTTAAACCCTCCCCAGAATGGGGTCCACAAAATCCAAATATCAAGGAGGAATATCAAAACTATCGCAAACATTTGGGGATTATTAAATCACATGGCCATAGGAGTATTTTTGGCAAAGCATTTGACAATTTGTTTGGTTAAATTTAAGAGATACAATTTACAATACAAAATATATAATTTTTAGAAAATTTTAATTATAAAAATAATTACATTTTTAATAAAAAAAAAATATTAAATAAAATATATCAGTGCTTCTATTTTATATATCTATATAAACAGTCTTTTATTTTATTGATCGTGGAAAAAAGTGAAACAATTTTTGAAAACATTTACAATACAAAAAGAAAATAAAGCGTGCTTATCATTAATCCATTAATTTTGCATCGCCTATTGACGATTCGGCCAAATAAACCCGTTTGGTTATCAAATAATCACGCATCAATTTGAAAAATGTAAATTGATTTGTTAATGTTATAAAACTTAAAGATAATATGAAATGCCATTCAATGGCATAATATAATAGGGTTATGCCCGATATAACCATACAGGCCTGGATCATTGTCAGACTGCCATAGATCATGGAGGGATTGTGAAAAAGTTTCTGAAAAGGGAAAAAGGAAATATGAATAAATAGAACATAAATTTAAATTCTTATAAATAAAAGAGAAAATAGAAAAAGTATTTTGATTTTTTATGGAATAAAATCTGGATTTTTAAAGAGTATTTTGAGGTCTAAAACCTGGATTTTTAAAGAATCTATCTGAGGTCTAAAACATGGATTTTTAAATGAATATTGTGAGGTCTAAAATGTGGTCTAAAACTTTAATTTTCGAAGAATATTCTGAGGTCTAAAGCGTGATTTTTTTTAATCAATATTTTTATGTCTGAAAATGGCTTTTTGTAAAGAATAGCCTGTGGTCTAAACGTATATTTTTTAAAGAATAATTTTTGGTCTAAAACATGGATTTTTGTAAAGAAAATTTTTACATTTAAATTTTTAATTTGTGGTCTCTGACTCGAAGTTATTAATCAATGGGTCTAAAGCCCGGATGTTCTTCTAAATTATGATAGGGTCCTAAATAATAAAAATTGTACAAAATAATTCAATAATTTAATTTAAAATAAAAAAGACGTTACTCACATAAAACCTTTCATGTGTCACATTACCGGGTATGGCCACGGTAACGGGTCCCACACTGCGATATAAATCTCCGGTAAATTTCACCACCGTACTAGGACCCCATAGCGTTGTTTTCAACCAATTCGCAGCTGAGGCTCCCACAACACAATCTGCACCCGGTCTTAAATCCAATTTCAGCCAATAGCCCAAATGCAGTGCGGCACGATGTAAAATATCACTATATTTCGAGGGAAAACTAAATACGGTACACATTGTAAAAACACTTAAAAATACCAAAACAATATGTTGGGCAGCCCACAAAACATTGTAGTTGACATTATGGGCAAAATAGCAGGGCAGAAATGCAGAATAATAGGTATTCAGCAGCGAAGTAAATATGACTTGTTTAAATCTACAATTGAAATCATTACGCAGTACATCGATTTCAAATCGAATACAATTGGGATTAGCCGAACAGCAGTGTAGAGGGAAACCATTAAAATAGGCTCCCTTGATTTCGTAGTTGAAACGCAGGAATGGTTCCAAAGCAAAACCAAAGGCCAAAAAGTAAACTATAAATCTAGAAAAAATGATTTCCATTGAAATAAAAATCCATTAAAAATTATACCGAAAACTTACGGATAAATCAGCAAAAATATTGTCAAGTAGTTACGATTATGATACATCATAACTATGCAGGAAACTGGCAAGGCCAAGACCATTATTTCTAAAACATATTTAAATATTCGATGCATACGTTGTAAATTTGCTGGCAACAAGAAATCCAAACCCTTGAGACATAGGCAATATATCAAACGTCTTATGTTCATGACAATGATCAGCAAGATCAAATATGGGTCAATGTGTGAGAGATTCTACAATGAAAACATTACAATTATTTCATATTTTAAAAAAATCAATTTTGGAATACTTACTACTGTATTACTAATTGCCACCTTGGGTAGCCACCAATTGGTGCGATAAATATTTATAAACTGCATTGAACTAACACAGGTGACAAACAAGAACATGATTAGTTCATTTAATATCTCCGATGCTGATGCAGGATCTGGGAATGGTATATGTTTGGGCATATTTGGTGCTGGTATATTGTTTGGCTGTTGTTGCTGCACTGCTGCAGCCCCATTGGCTTCATCATCTTTATTACTCTCACGATTCTCTCGCATTGTTAAGTGGTGGTGCGGTGTGTAATGGCTATTCTATAAAGCAGGAGTTATTTCCGTTGATCTTCCACAATGACGGGGGGACAGTAGCTTAAGGACAACCCACGACGCCAAATTTCATGTTTTTTTCTTATTATCAGTTGAAAACATTAAACAGCTGTTCAGAGATGATTGTTTACATGATGAGAAGACAAAAACGTCACTATAAATACCTGACATATGTGAGAAGGGAGAAAAGAAAGAGAGGGAGAGTAGCCATGTTGATGATTTATTAAATAAACATGATGGGGAAATTTGTATTTATGAATATTTAAATATTTTATAATTTAAAATTATGATTTTTGATGAATATTAAAATAGTATAGAATACGAAACGTTGATATTGTGAATAATATATTAGATACTAAAACGTGGATTTTTTATAGAGTACATATTTTAGGGACTAACGCGTGGATTTTATAAAGAATATAGGTTCTAAGATCAGGAATTTTTAAGGTATATTTTAGTCTCTAAAAATGTTGTTTTTTTATAATATTCTATGATCTAAACCGATGATTTCTTTAAACATATTCTATGAAAATGTGGAATATTTTGGGAATTTTAAAATCGTTTATTTAATAATATATTAGGGTCTAAAACTTGGATTTTAAGTAACTTTAAATGCCTACAATGAAATTGAAAAAAAAATAAAAATGCTAAAATAATTCTTTTTGAAGCTCCATAATGTTTTAAATAATAATACCTAATGATTTCTATAAAAAATCTTGTTTTAGGCTATAAAATATTCTTTAAAAAATTAAATTAAGAAGCCAAAGGTTGTACAAGGGGCAGTAATGGTAGATCATAAATCCATAGTAGTCGTGTAAATCGTAGGATTTCCAATTTGAAAGTCTCAATTATAATAAATTGTAGCAGCATACTAAAATTAAGGCGATAAATGGAAGAAATATTAAATGGAATTTATTAAACAGTAACTTTAAGATACCAACAATAACTTTAAGAGACGATTAATGACTTTAGGGATCCTAAAAAAATGTTGAAGAATACACTTTTAAAATCCACGTTTTAGGCCTGGAAATATTCTTTAAAAAATCCTCGTTTTTGACCTGGAAATATTCTTTAAAAAATCCGCGTTTTAGACCTAGAAATATTCTATAAAAAATTCAAGTTTTAAACCTGGAAATATTCATTATAAAAAATTCGCGTTTTCGACCTAGAAATATTCTATACAAAATCCAAGTTTTAAACCTGGAAATATTCTTTAAAAAGTCCACGTTTTTGACTTGGAAATATTCATTAAAAAAATACACGTTTTAGATCTTGAAATATTCTTTACAAAATCCACATTTTAGACCTGGAAATATTCCTTAAAAAAATCAACCTAAAATATTCCACAATTAAAAATATTTAAAATTTCATGAAAAATCTATTTTTAAATCCTATAATACTCTTCAATGAATATTTTTACGGACCCTTAATTTTGTTTATCATTTATATCTCAAAATATATTTTTCAAAGATTCTCCATTAGACCGTAAAATAATCTTTCAACAATCCCTCCATAATTCTTTTAAAAAATATATATATTTTTTAAAATTTGAAAATATTTTTATTATCAATTTTCCTTATTAATTATTTAAATAAAATACAACAAATTTTAAATCTTTTTTATTAAATAGAATTTTGTGATGTACCAAACGAAATTTAGACAAAACACATTTTTTCATCAATTAAAAACAAAACCAAAATTCAACATTAAAACCAAAAAAAAAAATCAAACATTTTTTTTTAATTCTTATTTCTAATTAGATTCCATGAACTGCCCTGAGCATGATCCTTTATCTCAATGCCATGTTGACGCAAACAATTGCGCAATTCATCGCAAACCTCAAATAGTACCTTATTTTTATTCGCGACAGCACGATCTCGTATCAGTTTACGTGTATCCAAAATATCATCTAATAGAGCATTAAAATCCAAATGATTTCCATCGCTCAAAACACGATTAGTTGCAGAGGTTTCGGAAAAACCAAATTGGTGCAAAACACTATCCACATAATTGTTGACGGCAGCAACAGCATCCAAACAGGATGCGGTAATTAAACCAGTATCCTCTTCACCATGACTCCTTGTGGAATTAATGCATCTACTAATACTTGAAATTTGATCTAGTAAAATACTAATGCAACGAGCCGTATCAAAATCATCTCGAATACATGATTCTATGTTCGATTTACAGTAGTTGAGATTTTGTAATATGGTTGAGGAAATGACGTTGGAACCCACCTTCTTGCCACTCAAATAGGCCAGACAGTCGGTTTTGAAACTATGGAATTTGTTGAGAGTATTCTTGGCGGTATCCATCATTTCTGTGGAATATTCCATAGAATTTCGGTAGTTCGAGAGCACGCAAGCCATGCGAAATTCGTCTGCCGTGTAATGCTGTAGCATTTCATCAATGGAAATTGTGTTCTTCAAGGATTTGGACATTTTCTCATTTTGTCCTTTGATGTTTAAATACCCAGTGTGTAGCCAATAGTTTACCCATTGCCGTGTATTGTGATAGACACAACTTTGGGCCTCCTCATTTTCATGATGGGGAAATTTCAAATCCAAACCACCAGCGTGGACATCAACACTTTTGCCAAAGACCATATTGGCCAGAGTACTGCACTCAATATGCCAACCGGGACGTCCCAGACCCCAGGGTGATGTCCATGCTGGTTCGTTTTCCGTTTTGCGGGCCTTCCACAAAGCAAAATCCAAGGCAGAAAGCTTTTGGTGTTGTTCCTCAGGTTTGGCTAAAGGATTACTTTCGTTTAAGTTCAAATTTTGCAGTTTACCATAAATCGGAAATTGTTTCACATCAAAATACACCGAGGAATCTTGACCCACATAGGCACACTTCTTAATGATTATATCATCAATATATGATATAATTTGTGGTATATGTTCCGTAACACGTAGCTTAATATTAGGTTCTGGTACATTCAGCTTTCTTAAATCTGACCAAAATTCAGCTTCATAATGTCGCGAAATATCACGCCAATTTTCACCACTCTCCTGACTTTTTCTAATGATTTTATCATCGATATCGGTAATGTTCATGGCCGTTACTACATTCAAATTGAAATGATGTTTTAGTATGCGTTGTATAATATCTAATTTTACATAACAGCTGGCATGACCCAAATGACAGGAATCATAGACGGTGGGACCACAAGTATACCAGGTTAAAAAGTTCTCTCTGGGCAATATCAAAGGAACTTGACGCCTAGCAGCGCAATTGTAAATACGTATACCCGTATCTACACCATCCGGTTTGAACCAATGATGTTGGGTACACATGGTACGCAAGGGGTTAAATACCGCAGGAGCAAAAGGCAAAACACGGCTAACAAAATAAAATGCAAATTACAATGTTAATGAAAGATAAACATAAAAAACTTTAAATATGTAATTTAGGGATAGTTACTCACCCTATTTTTAACATTTTGACCGGCTTTTTATTCGTACTTTTTTCAAGTTTCTTTCAGTTTTTGCAAACAATACAAAATAACCAAAATAACATCGATAAACAATTACGCTTTCCTCTCTCTCGCTCTCTCTTTGAATAACAGATGTTTATGCAAGGGAAATTTGTGACATTTGTATGTAAACAACATATGGCAACGTCATTATTTGTACCGTCGTTCACATGCAATCAGCTGATATTTGGTAATTGTTTTCAGAAGAAATTTATTAGATTTTTATTAGAAAAAGATAAACTATTAATAAAAACTAAGCCTCCAAAATGATGCGCTATGAGGAAAATGAAAAACTTGCAGACACTTCGGCCTGTGCTGGTGTCCGGGCGGACTTGAAAATGTGTCTCCTGGAAAGTGATTGTTGTAAAAAGGTAAGTTATTCGCCGGTGTACCTTGCAGATTGTACTAGAAGTGTTATTTTTGATTTTTTCTCCAGGACAAGAAAACACCGCGTGAATGTCTACAAGCCAATTTGGTACCCGAGGAATGTCAAATGCTTCGCAACACATTCTTTGAATGCAAAAGATCATTGGTGAGTAGTCAGTAGTCTGTTGGAATGCATTTCATGAATGCCTTGATTACATATTGAATATATTTATTTTTTCTTTTAGCTTGACAACCGAATGCGTTTCAGAGGACATAAAGGCTACTGAGTTGGGATCCGTTCGTCAATGTGGTTTACGGCACATTGTTTTTAGTTATTTGTATAATTTAAATAGATATATAAAATAAAGTTTTGTTATTTAAAAAATACAGATGTGTTGTAGGGATGCCAACTCAAGAATTTTAGTTTATAAGGGGGTAATAAGGAAATAAAAAGTTGTGTTGTGGTTTTCATTTCAATTAAATTTAAATATATTTCTATTAAATTTGAATATATTTCCATTCCATTTTGACAAAAAAATTTTGATTTGAGAATTATGTAAAGCAAATGAATAAGTAAGAAATATATTTTATTTAACACAATGATTGGAAAATACATCCGAATTAAATTAAAAAATTCCATTATGAGTATTCCACATTTATGTAAAGGAAACGAATATAAAATAATAAAGCTATTATCACATTGGAAACCCCACCGAAAAATTTAATTCCATAAGGTATTCCGAAGTCAATCGACGCTGTTGAAGAAACTCCTACAAACTATTAACTGATGATAAACCGGTCAATTATTCGTCCCCGAGAAGATCTAAAATCACCACAATACTCTGTTGATGTTATGCGGACTGTAAAGGATGTGCGCTATTTGCGTAAACGATTACAGGAAGAAATAGATAGTTTGCATGGCAAATGTTATGTCTGGGAACAATATAAAAATTGCGCTTTTCAGGCTTCAAATTTGTTTATTGAAATGATCTAGAATTTCCAAGAATTATTGCTACAAAAAACATTTCAATTCTAAAATTGTTAATAATTGACGCGCTTTCATATCCGTCGATGTCATTGATCTCCCCTTTGTGGAAAATGTGGTTGAACAAACAAATGGACGGGGTAAATAAATCTTAGTTTTTAAAAATAGATAGGATCAGCAGTTGTTATTATTATATTTTTCCGGATTGTCTTTCGAAGAAGTCGTCGCAACTGGCCACTGACGTCGATTATAAACCTAAATATAGAATTTGTGAGAATGGTCATTCACTCAAAAAATGGTAAAAATATAAAAATGATGATATATAAGGTCAACTCTGAAGCCGATTATAAACCTTAAAGATAAAATTTGCGAGGATAGTCCTGTACTCAAAAAATGGTGAAAATCGAAGAACATTTAGAAAACAGAAGATAATTGTTTAGCTCTGCAAAAGTGCAATGTATACTTCGCTTTATTATGATATAAACAACGATCGTTATATCAACAAATTTCTTAGAAATGCAAAATGACACCTCTTATCCGAAAACCCTGTATTTCCTTATTTTCCACATATTTTTTATGAATTTCCCTTCCTAACCTAACCAATGACTATTCACCCCATTTTCTTACAACAATTGGCATCCCTATATTTACTCTTTGTTGTTGTGACATGACTGACATCTTGCAAATGTTTACTTTTTCCCATCAAGTGGCAACACTCTGACAAGCCTTCAGAAAAATTCCTTTACATCAGTTAAAGGGAAATTTCAAATTGAAAAGTGTCAAAAAATAAAAGCGCCATTTGTGCCAGCCAGCCATTTTTAATTTATCTTTCAAAGCCAGCCGCAACACAGTCTGACTTGGAGGCAAATAGTATCCTTTTTCTTATAAATATAAACAAATATTATTAATAAAAAAATAATTATTTATAAAATATATAAAACAAAAACATGAGTGAATATCGGAGAAGTTTATATAAGGAACTTAAACAAGCATTTACGCCACAAAAACACAATCGGCTTAATCGGCAGCTACAAGAAGCCAATCGTAACAAACAAAGGAATGAACAATTTCAATTGTCCCGTCAAATATCGGTTAGTCCAACGCCAAAGAAGCGTCTGCTATCAGAGAAAGAAAATATCCACGATGGAAATGAGACTAACAATGTTGTGGAGGTGGTGGCAAATGGTTCGCGTACCGCAAAACTTATTTGCACAGCCCGCGATCCAGCGAAAATCAAGAAACAAGAGGCTTTCATATTGAGATTTCTCGATTGGAGAGATAAGAAGAAATCGTTGATGGAGAAAAGAAAGGCCGAAGCTATGAAAAAGAAACCCTTCGTGTCAGCTGTTGGTAAACATGCAGGATTTGGTCATGGTGGTGGTTGCAATGCAGGCCCAATGAGTTTGGCGCCAAATAATAATACATCAGCGACAACAAATCATCAGGCAAGTTTTGTGCCCAAAGGATATCAGGCAAATTTCGAACCACCACCTGGCCTAAAGGATCCCGGCGATATTGTGAGTAGTGTGCATAAAATATTTATTTCAATTAAATAATATTAACAATAATTTAACACTAGGTAAAGGATAAAGCAAAAAGTAGACAATCCATATATACAGTGGTACCAACACCACCCAAAAAGAAACCCGAAACAACGGGTAAAAAAGTGGTGCCTCTTGCCAAAAAGGTTTTGGTGACGAATTTCAGTGCCAATGCAGTGAAAACAAAATTGAGCAATAAAACGCCACAGCGCACGGAAGTGGGAAATAAAAATGTAATGAACAGTGGTGGCGGAGGCATTAAAACGAAACCCACAACATTTTCCTCTGGGTCGTCCACAAAACCCTCATCCACAACTAAACCAACAAATAATAATTTAATTAAAACTTCCCAAACCAATAAGAATGGTCTAAATTCCGCATCGTCATCATCATCATCGGCGTCGAAATTCAAAACTCAAACGAATACAGCACTCAAACCAAGGCAACTTAAAATGCCACCTCCCTCAAGTATACCACCGAAAAAACCCGGACAAACAGCGACATCTTCAGCTTCCGGTAACGTTGTGAGGAAAAGTACTATACCCGCCATAAAAGTAACCACAGTTGGTGCCAAATCTAGGTTCTCAAATACGGGCGCAAGAAAACCCACAGAAACGGCGTCCCGACATCATCTGAATAAAAAATCACCACAACAACCCCAAAAGAATGCTCGTCTAACACAGACAATGAAGGCCAAGAAACCCATTAAACCAGCCACCACAAATACCACCAACAAATTGCTATCATTAATGGTATCACAGGCTAATGAAATGGTCTCCGATATGGTAGTACAAACACCCAGAGATTTCTCCAATTCAAATCATTTTGATGAGTTTGTCACCTCGACTAAGGTGAAGAATTCCAATTCCACATTGGATGATGTTGATGGTGTAAGTCCCATAGAAATGTTATCGAAACGAACGTCAGGACATTCTGCAGCCAAGAGAAATTTGCTTAAGGATGCCACCACCAATAAAATGGCAACAGCGACTTCGGCCAATAATCATTTAACAGAAGATGAAGAGGTGCGGCCATTATCAAATGTAAATCCCAGCAAGAGATTTAATTTCATACGATATTCCGAAGTTAATGTTAGTTTTAATGATAATCCTTCAGAAGAAAACAAAGAGAAAGAAGAAGAAAATCATAAAAAGGAAGTTGAAGATGAGGACAAATTGTCACCTGAAAAGGTCGCAAAAGAAATCCCTAATGAATCCCCCAAACAAAATCTAAATAATACAATTACACTGGAAGCACCCTCGACACCCGCTGAGAAAACTCCCACAAAATTATTAACTGAAGATAAACCGGTCAATTATTTAAGTCCATTTGTCAGTGTTAGCCGTGGCAAGGTTAGCTTAAAAAAGGAAAAAGAAAGACGTAGTAGCATTTATATGGTCAACCGCATTGAAGATGAACTTAACAACTCGAAACGTCTGTCACTGCAACCTACAAGTCCATTGGGACAGAAAATACCAACCGAGGAACCAAAATCACCACAATACTCTGCTGAAGTTATGCGAACACTAGAGGCTGTACGCTATTTCCGTAAACAGTTACAGGATGAAATAGATCGTCTACATGCCAAATGTGATGTCTGGGAAGAATATAAAAATGGTAATTTGGAAAAATTACAGGCGGTCAATGGCGATGATATGATCGATGTCACAATTGGTCAAACTAAATTGCTGACCAGTAAGAAATTTATGCAATTCAAAGGCCTGATAGATCGTTGTGAGGCTCGGGCAACTGGCATTAATGATGTACCCGATGATGGCAGTGAAAAAACGAAAAATGTCGATGCTGTGGATTTGGAAGGTTTCTGGTCAATGTTGGGTTTGCAGGTTGATAATCTAGAAAAACGGTTTGAGAATTTGGAGCGTTGGAAAGCCAATGATTGGCAAGACCCGGATGAGGTAAAACCCAAGGCCAAGGCGAAACCCAAAAACTTAACAAAAGTTAAAAAGGCCGGGCCAGCAGCAACGAAGGCCCGACCCAATTCAGCCTTGCAACAAATGTTGCGGAAAATGCAAGCCGATATGCGCAATAAAAAGGCCAATAATTTGTTAGTAAATACGGATGATGTTGTCCTTACACCCTCCAAGGTTAGAGATCGTAAATATTTCTCACCCGCCGCCACTGTTGTGGCCATACCAGCCTCCAATCGCCGATTATCGATTTTGTTGGCCGAAAATGCAGCTGAGGGTGGCTGTGGTGGTGGCGGCAGCTCTCCCAATCGTCGAATGTCTTTGTTGGGTCGTAAAAATTCTCAAGATTCTCCTCGCCGAATGTCACTAATGAATGCACGTAAAAATTCACAAGACACTCCCAATCGTAGAGTATCGTTGATGATGCAAAAGAATCCCATAATGGAATTTCGTGAATCGAACGTTGATGATGAGGAAAACTCTTGCGGGACAAAGAGCAATTCTTCGGTGAATGGTAAAATAAATGAGGAAAACGCTGCCGCTTATATGTCACCTGTAGTAAAGTCACGTAAATCGATATTGAAAACACCCGGCACGGCTAGAAGTAAATTACGAAATGTGGTATTCAATGAAAAGTTGAGAGTTAAAAAATTCAATTTCATTGTAAATGATGAAGATGGCAATGTGGTTGATGATGATCAATGCAATAAATCGAACGAAGAGCTAATGGATAAAAATAAAGGTAGGAATATTCTTTTTATCAATTAATAAGTTTGGAATTTATTCATTTTGTTTTTTTACTTGCAGACTCTGATGATGAAGAAACTCAGGATGGACCCAAACTCGGTACTTATTCACTGAGAAATCGTAAAGTTCGTTTACGTCCATCATGTGAAATTGTTATACCCAAATAGATATAGCATAATATTTTTTGTATTACTTATTCATCGTCTATATATTTACATTTTTGTTTTTTTTTATTATTTTGTTCCCATTACATTATTAGTATTTTAATGTTTGCCTTTCTTTGTGCTAAATTGGTATTTTTTTGAAATGTTTTATTGTATTAATAATAATAATATGTTGCCTCATATCTGACCACCATGTATACCACACACCATTTTATTTTTGGTTTCATTTAGTGCTATTTTTGTCTGTTTGAAAATAATGGTAGTAGTTATTGTTTACCCAACCCACCCTCAATCTCTATTGATTTTATATTTATTAAAAATAAAATATGTATCTTTTGGTTTTTATAATAAAAAACAATCACAACAATAAAGTTAATATACTTATTATTTTTTTCACTACCCATTTGAATAGTTCTCCTTTCTAGACATTATTCGGTAAGTTCAATGCGTTACGCTATGCACAATTTTAGGGGTCCTTGGTTTACCGTTTGCATGAAATCGGACGGAAATATATGTGGGAGCTATATGTAAATCTGAACGGATTCTCATTAATTTAAGTAAGAGATTTTCTTGGTCCATGCTTATTTTTAGTCCTTAATTTCTTTTTTTTTTAAATCAAGCCTCATAGTTTCTTGACTTAATTTTTAATTATCATCAGCGTCAAAATTAAAAACCCTAGAGAATACAGCACTCAAACCAAGGCAACTTAAAATGCCATCTCCCTCAAGTATATCACAAAAAACCCGGACAAACAGCGACATCTTCAGCTTCTGGTTACGTTGTGAGGAAAAGTACTATACCCGCCATAAAAGTAACCACAGTTGGTGCCAAATCTAGGTTCTCAAAGCCACCGAAACGGCGTCCCGACATAATCTGAATAAAAAATCACCACAGCAACCCCAAAAGAATGATCGTCTAACACATCCAATGAAGGCCAAGAAACCCATTAAACCAGCCACTACAAATGGGTCATGTTTATTGTTAGTCCTTAATTTTTTTAAATTATCACAGCAAATCCAATGAAGGCCAAGAAACCCATTAAACCAGCCACTACAAATGGGTCATGTTTATTGTTAGTCCTTAATTTTTTTAAATTATCACAGCAAATTTTAGGTTCTTGGAAAAACCTAAAATTTGCTTCTTAAAAAATCGAAAAGAGTTTTATAAAAATTTCACACATTTTGCAGAATATTGAAAAACACGGTTTTTGATTATTTTTTGCTGGTCATTTGAAAAATATTTGTAAAAAATATGCTTCTTGAAGACCATTCAAAATATTTAAACCTTAAGGGAATACAACATATTTTTAAAAAATCCACGCTCATTAAAAAAAGAACGCTTCTTGAGGGTTATTTAATATATTTTTTAAAAATCCACACTAATTGCAGGGCCTTAATAAATCCATTCCTATATTCCGGAGGGTGCCCCTTAAAAAATCCCCACTTATTGTATGGATAAATATTTTTTTTTAATTCACACATTGTTGGCCCTTGAAAAAAAAAATTTAACAAATCCCCGCCTATACTTGTTTCGTTGACTACTCACTTCCTGAGGGTCATTACAAAATATGTTTAAAAATTCTACACCCCTTTAATCTAAATAATAAATTCTATTAATAAATCCAGGCTCTTATGTTCTTTTTAGAAATTCACGGTTTTTTAAACAATCGAAATTTATTGAAGTTTTAAATAAAACATTGTAAAAGATAATAATACTTGATTAAATAATTGTAAAAAACCCAAGATTATTAAGGGACTTTACTTTTTTATTAAAAAATATATTAAAAATACTACCTTTCTTTTAGTCCTTGAACATTCCAGACATTTTTCATTGTGGTATTTTCAATTTCATTTTTCCAAGAACAAGAATTGAGTCACATGTAAGTTTCTTTCTTATAAATATATGACGTCACATTTAGGATGCAATTTTATATACAATAAATATACAATAAGGCGACAAAAATTAAAACTTTTAATAATATATAGTATATTTATTGAATGTAACACACATTTAAATTTAATTTTAAAACCATTTAAAATGTTTAATTTTTCTTTATTTCAATTCTTCTGTGCAATATGACTGTCATTTGCTTGACTCTTCAACCCATCAATTTATCGTACAACAACTGCTGTTGTATGAACAACAATGACAGTTGTCATATAACTCTTTCAACATGTTCGTTTTGTTTTATAATAAATATTATTAATTATAGTAAAAATAAATACATATTAAAATATTGTATAATTTTTTCATATATTGTGTATTAATTTAATTTATCTACTAAATTAATTTAATTTCATTTTCAAACAGTGCTGCCAACCAACCCTTTCTTCTTATATTTATTGTCGACCACATACAACCCTGTTTGCTATTCTTTTTTCGTTCTCCCTTTCAACCAACACGAATGTCAACGCAAAACACATTCATAGAAAATTTCCTTTTATACACGATAAAAATACAAGCAAATATCTTCAAAATAATCATATTAAATTTTGAAAATTTATTTAAAATTCATACGCGTAAAATGCCAATAAACAATTGAAAGCGTAGCAGTGTTTAGTCGTTAAGTGAAAAGTGTAATTCAGCCATTGGTGAGGGCAAGGAAAAACGCGCTAATTTGCTTGCCAAGATTTCATTACGGTGGGGTTTTGTTATAGTCGTAGCCACTAGTAGTGAACGAAATCACGTAGTATATTCCAGTGTTTTGTTGAAATATTTTTGTGTTTGAAGGGGATTTTATGGCCAGAAAAGTGTTCGGATTTCGAAACTGACGAGTGAAATTAATGTGCTTGATTGAAATTTAAAGGATATCATCAACAATATGGGTAAGTTTTGTAGATTAAGTGCGGAATTGTTTTGAAAAAAGATTTGTCTTTGCATTTCAAATTGAATTTTCAATTGATGGTTGGTTGTGCGTAATTGTTGTTGCTGTTGCCTGTACCAATCACAACAGCCATGGCAGACTCGAAGAGCCAAATGATAGTGTTGTGATTATTTACTTAATGGTAATTAAATGTCACGAAATAATTAAATTATTGTGTAAAATTGTTGTAATTCTTCGATTTTGTTTTTATTGTTGTTGAATTTTCCAAAAATGTGCTGCGAGTGTTTTCATATTCAATAAAATCGTGGCAAATTGTTCCATCATGCTCGGCCAACGGCCGCTGCCGTTTGTTTGTTAACGGGATTCTCTTGAAACCCCAAAGAAACGTTAGAGAATCCCCACAAAAGGGGATCTGCGGTGGGGATTATTCATTGGTAGCTACATTTAATTAAGCAAATGTTCATAAATTATGGTATTTGTATGACAAATATTTTTGTTTTTTTTATCATATTGTTGCCTCAAATTTTTTTTCGTTCATGATTATTCAAGAGTTACCATCTAGTTTGGTGAGCCTTTCGTAGTTACCATTTTGTATAATTTCCCTTTTTGTGTGCGTTTTGTTGTATAATTTCAAACAATGTGGCCATATTTTCTCCCCGCTATCATATGTTGGGATATTTTTGTGTGTGGTTCTTTTTTGCTTTTGACATTTCATATTGGCACATTTTGGGGGTTAGTTTTACGCAATTGCCTGCAATTGAGAAAAATCGAAACGAAAAGATCTGCAGAATTTTCCCCTGAAACTCTTGTAATTACAGAAAAGGTAAGAGGAAATCACTAAAAGTGAAGGCAATTTACCCAAATCTTTAATTGTTTTCCAGTTTTAATTGGAATTTTTGTCAACATGTCCGCCTTATATGCCGCCCGTCATGTTACCGGTGTGACCTCTTCGGTTTTATCAAGATGCACAGCCGTAAGACGTTGCCTTAGCACGGCACGTTTGGTACGTACGGCCAAGGGTGCTCCCTCTGCCCTGATGCATTTGAACAAATACTTGTCTCCCATGGCATCCTACTCCGCCGGATTCCAACAATTTGTTCGTGATTATGCCTCCGAAAAGAAGGTGTTCGAACGTACCAAGCCCCATTGCAATGTTGGTACCATTGGTCATGTTGATCATGGTAAAACCACATTGACTGCTGCCATTACCAAGGTCTTGGCCGACAAACAATTGGCCGAAAGTAAGAAATACAATGAAATCGATAATGCCCCCGAAGAAAAGGCCCGTGGAATCACCATCAATGTTGCCCACGTTGAGTACCAAACCGAAAATCGCCATTATGGTCACACCGATTGTCCCGGCCATGCTGATTACATTAAGAACATGATCACCGGTACTGCCCAGATGGATGGTGCCATTTTGGTTGTAGCCGCCACCGACGGTGCTATGCCCCAAACCCGTGAACATTTGTTGCTGGCCAAACAAATCGGTATTAACCACATTGTGGTCTTCATCAACAAGGTCGATGCTGCCGATCAGGAAATGGTTGATTTGGTTGAGATGGAAATCCGTGAATTGCTTAGTGAAATGGGTTATGATGGTGACAACATTCCCGTGATTAAGGGTTCCGCTTTGTGTGCCTTGGAGGACAAGAGTCCCGAAATTGGCAAGGAAGCCATCTTGAAGCTGCTCAACGAGGTCGATAACTTCATTCCCACTCCAGTACGTGAATTGGACAAACCATTCCTTTTGCCCGTTGAAAATGTCTACTCCATTCCTGGACGTGGCACCGTTGTAACTGGTCGCCTGGAACGTGGTATTGTTAAGAAGGGTTTCGAATGTGAATTTGTCGGTTATAATAAGGTGATCAAATCCACCGTTACCGGCATTGAAATGTTCCATCAAATCTTGGATGAAGCCCAGGCCGGTGATCAATTGGGTGCCTTGGTACGTGGTGTTAAGCGTGATGAAATCAAACGTGGTATGGTTATGTGCAAACCTGGCAGTGTTAAGGCCTTGGATCAGTTGGAAGCCCAAGTATACATTCTCGCCAAGGAAGAAGGTGGTCGTTCCAAACCCTTCATGTCTTTCATTCAATTGCAAATGTTCTCACGTACCTGGGATTGTGCTGTGCAAGTGCAAATTCCCGACAAGGAAATGGTTATGCCCGGTGAAGATACCAAATTGATTTTGCGTTTAATTCGCCCTATGGTCTTGGAACAGGGCCAACGTTTCACATTGCGTGATGGTAATTTGACTTTGGGTACCGGTGTTGTAACTAAAGTCTTGCCCCCATTGAGTGAAAACGAACGTCTATCGTTGACAGAGGGCAAGAAGGCTCGTGAGAAGAAAATGGCCGATAAAAAGTAAATTTTTATAGTTTGTAATGATTATGGATAAGTTATTTTACTATACCTATACCTTATTGTTAAAAAAGAACATATTTTTTTCGATTTTTCTTAAAGAAAAAATGCGATTGTGTTTCTCCATTTGTATAACTGCCGAATTGGTTGAAAATTGTTAATTAAAATAAAGCACATATTGTTTTGGAAAATAAAACATTTCTTTTTCGTGAAATGTTTTAAAAGGTTCCCTGTTAAAAGTTTTAAAAACTGGAAATGGAAAATTTCTTCAATAGATATTTGTGTGAAAAATATTTGAAAATAAATAAAAAAAGAAAAATCATTTCTGTGTGTGTTTTTTTATACCCTACACCACACTGGGATATTATGACTTTGTGTATAGGAAGGAAACAGGATTGATTAAGGATATATTTATAATCAAGTTTAAAGGTCGATTTAAACAAGTCCATCCGGCCGACCCTCTTTTTACCTATATATGAAAATAAATTACAGGTTGTATTTCTCATCCAATTGAAAGGGAGTATTTATTGAGAACGGATGAGAATTGGATTGGATTGAAAATATTTGGACTAGAGTGAAGTGCGTTAAATTTGCTTTATATCGGTTAAGATTCGGTTCTAGGTCCTATATATAATTGTGTCCGATCGACATGAAATTTTGCAAGGGCCACCGAAATAAGTTGGGAATCTAGATCTAGTTTCCGCACATAATTCCGTCCGATTTCATGTAAATATTGCATGGAATAAGCTACGAACGTCCGATTGGCACGAAACTTTGTATGGGGAACTGAATTGAGACTAGAGAGACGTATCTTAAGTTTATTTTAAATCGGTTCAGATTTTGATAAGCTCCCATATATATATGTTCTTCCGATTTCCTGAAAATAGGACCCTAAGTTTGTCCGATGGACATGATATTTTGCATGAGGTACCGATTTGAGAATATAATGTCGTGTGCTAAGTTTGATTCAAATCATTTCAGATTTCTATATAGCTACCATACAAAATTTGGTCCGAATTCAGATTTATGGTGCACTAAAGACCCGATGTTTGTCGGATTGATACAAAATTTGGCATGTAGTACCTAATTTAATCTAGTATCACGCATGCGAAGTTTCATTTAAATCGGTTCCGATTTTGTCCTAGCTCCCATATGTAAGTTTTTTCTGATTTCCTGAAAATAGGACCCTAAGTTTGTCCGATTGACACGAATTTTGCATAGGATAATGAATTGAGTCTAGAAAAATAACGTGTGCTAAATTTGATTGAAATCGCTTTAGATTTCGATATAGCTCCCATACATAATTTCGTCCGATTGAAATTTCACCAAAGACCAAACTTTTGTCCGCTTGATCAAGAGGTAGTCCATATGCAAGGCAAATCTTAAATCATATTGTATCCTTTAATATGCATTTCATTATTAATCTTTTTATCTTCTCTCCATATTTATAGACAGCCTTGATGATTCCTCATCACTGCCGGAATTAAGTTTCGATGACCTCCTCGACACACCACCGACAAAGAAAAATGGTAAACCCCAAATTATCGACGAAGATTCTATGGAATATGAAAGTGAAGAGCCAACCCCCAAAGATGATACCCTCAATACACCAGTACCGAAGAAAACACGCATGGTCCCAACAACAACAAAAACCATTACGACGAATAGTTTTGTAAGCAATAAACCAGTACCGATACGTACAAATCTGGTTAAGACGGCTACTAGCAATCAAATGACAGCATATACAAAAAATTCTGGAGCAGGTAATACTTCATCATCACCATCAACTTCGGCTCCCATACTTTTGAATACGAAAAATGTGCTGCCTAAAATGGCTGCTCAAATAACCAACCATTCGATTAAATTAACTCCCAAAACTGTATCATCAACGACGGCTGGCAGTGGTGGTGGAGTAACATCATCGACAACATCAACGCCATCTGGCACATCTTCATCGTTTCTGTCAATTGGAGGCAAGACCGCTGTACGAACAGCATCTGGACAATTGTTATATATACAAAAGACCACAACTCCTAATAACACAACAACAACAACGGGAGCTGTAACCAAATTGGCAAATACCTCCACAGTGGTAAAAACACAACAGAATGTCGCCACCACCGTCGCAGGAGGTAATAAACCTGTTACCATACAGGTTATGCGTAATGCCGATGGCAATTTGGTGCCAATAAAAACTTCAACTGGGCCCAATGGCAAAAATACCACTTTGACTTTGTCACCCACTGCCAGTTTGGCGGGTAAGAAAATAATTTCCTCCACCGGCGGCAAGGTATTGATAAAAACCACCAGCACCTCGGGTATGGTTTCCACATCTAACCCAGCCATAAAAACCATGGTAGTTAAGCAAGGTACTACGAGTGTGACAACAGCTACTGGGGATGCTGCAAAACCCAAAACAATTGTGGTACAAAATTCTGGAACAAGTGGTGCGGTTGCGGGTAGTGGCGGAGATGCCATGGGAAAACCCAAAACCTTTGTGGTACAAAGTAATAATGGCAAGATTTTGGTTACCAATCAAAATTTGGTAAAACTCTCTCCCAAACCGGCGACAACAGGCTCTGGAGTAAGTAACACCACCACTCTCACCTCAACAACCAACAACAATTCAGGTGGCCAGCATCTGCAAGCTGTACAAATTCCCGGTAAATCAGGTGTGCAATATGTTCGTGTTGTACCTCAATCGAAATCCGCAACAACAACCACAACATCGTTGGCCTCTGGACAAGGAAAACTAATGACAATGACCTCGGTGGCAGCATCAACATCTTCTCTGGCCAAATCCCTAAACACCTCCACCACCACATCAACATCGGCTACCAAAACCCTAACCACATCGGCTCCTGTTAAAATTCTAAATAATCTACCACAAAAATTCACGGTGGTACAAAAAGGTGGTTCCACAAAAGTTGTGGTTACCCAGAAAAAGGATGCCAATGGTGTGGAATTTACACCAATTGCATCGAAAGTACAAAAAACCATTGTCGCTATGCCCACAACAAAGGCTACCACGGAGGATGGGGGCAAACAACAAGAAAAATCCCCCGCTGCAGCCAATTCTCTTGGCAATCAAACAATAATTCGTAAACATAAAATTTCGGAAATAAACACCGAACTGAAAAGAATAACAGCCTCCGAGACAGAAGACAATGGACCACCGGAAGTTAAAAAACCCACTCCCAATAGTCGGGTGGTGGTTATAGCCAGCAATGCTCCCACAATTCTCAACAGTGGTGTACAGCAACAAATTGCTGGACGTGTTGTTGCAAATCCCTCCAGTGGTAATAATAATGTGCAGGTGCAGGGCACCCGGCTAGCAAGTAATAATACAAATCCAGCTGCTGCTGCATCTACATCCCGGACGAGAATAGCTGCGGGTGATAAAATGTATACCCTTCTCAAACCATCCTCGGGACAGCAGAATCCACCCAAGGTTTATAGTGTTTTAAAGGCAAGTCAAGTTTTAACCACGACCACAACAACACAACCAACTTTTACAGCTCCGGCAGCCACACAAAAACTCCTGCTCAATCAGCAGTCACTTGTAAAGCAAGAGAAACAACAACACCAGCAGCAGCATCAGCATCAGCAACAAACCGTTTTCAGTTTAAAACAATTGCAACCCAAACTCAAATCATCCTCATCAGCAGCAGCACCGTCATCATCATCATCATCCTCCACCAATCTGGCCACATTAACATCCTCGAACTTTAGTTCGATCAAAATTAAAGAAGAACCATTAGAATTTTATGAAAGTTCCAACTCCTCCACCACAGTCGCCCAAGAAATTAAACTTCATTACAAGCCCACAACAGCATCATCATCGTCGTCATCATCATCTAACATGGCACCACCATCAGCTTCATCATCATCAAATGCAGCTGCTGCGGCGGCGACCGCTGCATTATTGCAACCTCTTCCTCCTCCTTTACCCTCAATCTCTGCCACAGACATTAAAGAGGATCCGAATAAAATCGATTTGGTCGGAGCTGTGCGACGCAAACACTGCAATTGCAGTAAATCTCAGTGCCTGAAACTCTATTGTGATTGTTTTGCCAATGGTGAATTTTGTCAGGATTGTACATGCAAAGATTGTTGCAACAATCTGCAGAATGAAGATGAACGTCAACGGGCCATACGCAGCTGCTTGGAAAGGAATCCCAGTGCATTTAAGTGAGTAGCAGGGATTTTTTTTTAAAATATTTTTTTTGGGATAGATATCGCGATGATTTTGAAAAAAAAATATAAGGACAGGCGTGAATTTGAAAATAATATATTTTTAGAGCGTGGATTTTTAAAAATTATTTGTTTCAAGGCGTGGATTTTTTAAAAATATTTTTTTCGAGGCGTGGATTTTTTAAAAAATGTTTTTTTTCAAGGCGTGGATTTTTTAAAAATATTTTTTTTTCAAAGCGTGGATTTTTTAAAAATATTTTTTTCAAGGCGTGAATTTTTTAAAAATATTTTTTTCAAGGCGTGGATTTAAAAAATATTTTTTTCAAGGCGTGGATTTTATAAAAAATATTGTTTCAAGCGTGGATTTTTTAAAAATATTTTTTTTCAAAGCTTTAATTTTTTAAAAATATTTTTTTCAAGGCGTGGATTTTTTAAAAATATGTTTTCAAGGCGTGGATTTTTTAAAAATATTTTTTCAAGACGTGGATTTTATAAAAATATTGTTTCAAGCGTGGATTTTTTAAAAATATTTTTTTCAAAGCGTTAATTTTTTAAAAATATTTTTTTTCAAAGCGTTAATTTTTTAAAAATATTTTTTTAAAAGCAACCCGTGGATTTTTTAAAAATATTTTTTTCAAAGCCTGGATTTTTTTAAAATATTTTTTCAAAGCGTGAATTTTTTTAAAAATATGTTTTTCAAAGCGTGGATTTTTTAAAAATATTTTTTTCAAAGCTTGGATTTTTTTAAATATTTTTTCAAGGCACTTGGTATTTAAATGACATTTAAATTTAAAATGACATTCATATCCTATTGTGTGAACCCTCCTGTGACCATTTTGTCTGTACAGTACAAATGTAAAACAAGAAACGGAAACATGTGAACCTCACATTTTTAACTGACAATTTTGAAAACAATTTTGAAATTTGTAACACAGGAGGCCGTGAATTCAAACTTCTATGGCATTGCATGACATTTAACACCATTCTCTATTCTTTCTTTCTGCAGACCAAAGATAACATCATCCAGTGATTTAGGAGATATGCGTCTACACAACAAAGGTTGCAATTGCAAACGTTCGGGATGCCTTAAGAACTACTGTGAATGCTATGAGGCCAAGATTCCGTGTAGTTCGAATTGTAAATGTGTGGGTAAGTAACAACGAAATAACAGAATTTTGAACCCAAACTTCAATAACAATTTTTACTTATCTATATTGTTGCAGGATGTCGCAATGTTGAAGATCGTCCCGATTTGGATATGGATCCGGTTGATCCCAAAGTTATGGCAACAATAGCAAATGCCAGCGGCAACGCCTCCACAAGTCAAAAACGGTCTTACGATAAACGGGATTCATATGGCAACGTCAAGACAGAAAAATATGGCAGAGATAGTGTGAAACAGGAATATGGTGCCGAACTGAATAGTGATTTGGCACCACCGGAAAAACAACAATGTAATTTCATTACCCAAGAAGTTGTTGATGCCACCATCCAATGTATGGTCACCCAGGCAGATGAATGTGAAAAGAATGGCCTTCCCGCATATCAAATGGAAAAAATGGTTATGGAGGAGTTGGGTCGCTGTCTAGTGGAAATTATCGATTTCTCCATACGCAATACAGACACCAGTTATACTCAAGATTAAATAATACGTTATCTCACATGAATTGACCAAGTTTGAAAATTTGTTAAATTATTTTTAATAATAAAAAACACCATACTTTATTTTTGGAAATACAAAATAAAATTGTATTTTAAAGTAGTCTACATAATTCTTAGTAATAGGATTTTTAAATGAAACTTATGATAACCTAACAGAAAAATAATTACATGTACATAATAGTTTTAACTTCTAAAAAAAAGATTTTCTTTTAAAACACAAAAGATTCGATTGCAAAGTCAGGCAAAACTTTTTGAAAGTTTTTCAAAACACTGTATTCTATAAGAATTTATTTTGTAGTTTTTTCCTTCATTCAATTTTTTTTTTCGTTATAAATTACTAAAAAAAACTATTTCGATTCATTGTTTTATCCCCTTTACCAAATATTTATAAGTTCTTATTTTTGATCAAGATTTATGTTTTTGACCTTTTTTCTTTTTATCTTTTTTTACTTTAATATAATTGCATCAGTTGTTATACATAGTTGATATATAATTCAAATGTAATATTGCTTATAAAATAGTTTTTAAGTGTATATAAGTTATACAAAAAATATAGGCATATAGTCGCATCAATAAATCGTGTATAAAAAATAAAATTTTGTAAGGGTATTTTCATCATTTAAAATATATCACAGGCTTGGAATTTAAAAAAAAAATATTTTTTCAAGGCGTGGATTTTTTAAAAATATTTTTTATAAGGCGTGGATTTTTTAAAAATATTTTTTAAAAGGCGTGGATTTAAAAAAAAAAAAAAAATTTCAAGGCGTGGATTTTTTAAAAATATTTTTTATAAGGCGTGGATTTTTTAAAAATATTTTTTAAAAGGCGTGGATTTAAAAAAAAAATTTTCAAGGCGTGGATTTAAAAAAAAAATTTTCAAGGCGTGGATTTTTTAAAAATATTTTTTAAAAGGCGTGGATTTAAAAAAAAAATCAAGGCGTGGATTTTTTAAAAATATTTTTTAAAAGGCGTGGATTTTTTAAAAATATTTTTTAAAAGGCGTGGATTTTTTAAAAATATTTTTTAAAAGGCGTGGATTTAAAAAAAAAATTTTCAAGTCGTGGATTTTTTAAAGAATATTTTTCTAGGGCACCAATCCATAAAAGGCGTGGATTTTTTAAAGAATATTTTTTAAAAGGCGTGGATTTAAAAAAAAAAATTTCAAGGCGTGGATTTTTTAAAAATATTTTTTAAAAGGCGTGGATTTAAAAAAAAATTTCAAGGCGTGGATTTTTTAAAAATATTTTTTCAAGGCGTGGATTTTTTAAAAATATTTTTTTTTATTTAAAAAATATTTTTCAAGGATTTGTTTAGAAATATTTTTTTAGGCGTGCATTTTTTTAAAAATATTTTTTCAAGGCGTGGATTTTTTAAAAATATTTTTTCAAGGCGTGGATTTTTTAAAAATACTTTTTTTTATTTAAAAAATATTTTTCAAGGATTTGTTTAGAAATATTTTTTTAGGCGTGCATTTTTTTAAAAATATTTTTTCAAGGAGTGGATTTTTTAAAAATATTTTTTCAAGGCGTGGATTTTTTAAAAATATTTTTTCAAGGCGTGGATTTTTAAATGTATTTTTTCAAGGCGTGGATTTTTTAAAAATATTTTTTCAAGGCGTGGATTTTTAAAAATATTTTTTCAAGGCGTGGATTTTTTAAAAATATTTTTTCAAGTCGTGGATTTTTTAAAAATATTTTTTCAAGGCGTGGATTTTTAAAAATATTTTTTCAAGGCGTGGATTTTTTAAAAATAGTTTTTCAATGCGTGGATTTTTTTTTAATATTTTTTAAGGCGGGGATTTTTTTAAAAAATTTTTTTCAAGGCGTGGATTTTTTTTTTAATATTTTTCAAAGCGGGGATTTTTTTAAAAATATTTTTTCAAGGCGTGGATTATTTAAAAAATATTTTTTTAATTTAAAAAATATTTTTCAAGGATTTGTTTAGAAATATTTTTTTAGGCGTGCATTTTTTAAAAATATTTTTTCAAGGCCTGGATTTTTTTTAAATACATATTCAAAGCGTGGATTTTCGGTCCTCTATGAGAATACCTTTGGGTCCTCTACGGGAAGCCCCTTCAGTCCACTATTAGACCTATTAAAAGACCTTTCGGTTCTCTATTATAAGATGTTTCGGTCCTTTATGAGCAGACCTTTCGGTCCTCTATGAGAAGAAATTTTAGTCCACTATTGGAAGATCTTTCGGTACTCTATTAGAATACCTTTCGGTCCTCTATTAGAATACCTTTCGGTTCTCTATTAGAGTACCTTTCGGTTCTCTATTAGAACATCTTTCGGTTCTCTACTAGAAGATGTTTCGGTCCTCTATGAGCAGACCTTTCGGTCCTCTATGGAAAGACCTTTGGGTCCTCTATTGGAAGATCTTTCGGTCCTCTATTAGAAGTCCTTTCGGTCTCCTATGACCAGACCTTTTGGTCCTCTAAAGTTCTTCTTTTCATTACCACAAATTTCTTCATTTTCTCTTAGATTTTTTGCTACAAAAAAAAAAAAAAAAAAAAATTGAATCGAATATTGTTTTATACATCTGCCAAAGTTAAGTTGATTTATAAGCGACACTTAACACTAATAACCACTTTAGACACCCCATTTGGACATAGACACACATACACACACACTCGAATATTCAAGTATTATAACCTAACATTTTTCCACACTCGTTGGATACGGGAAAAAAATATAAACATTCGTTATGATTTAATCCTCCTTAATATATAAGAAGAAGGATATGAGTGTAGAGATTACGAGAGGATACATTTAGATATAACACATAAGTGATGGTAATAAATCAAAGGCGAATAGAAAAAATATATTCAACTGTTTTTCCTCTTTAAGTCATTTTCTTTTCTCCAGAGGCTCCCGTGGAAATGGTGTTCCTTGCCTCCAAGTTGTATATAGACAATAAAATTTTACCTTAACTTTGATTTTACAACATTGCCATTGTTATTGCCAAGGCATTAACATTAAATCAGCAAGTGTAGCAAAAAAAAAAAAAAAAAAAAAAAACAATTGGACAAAGGAAAATGGAGAAAAAAAATAGATGGGAATAAAAGCATTTCAATGAAGTTAATGCTAATCATGGCTAAAATGCCAAGATATTTATTTCGCTTCCCATACCAAACTCCCAGACTAACCAACCGACAGTCCTTTTAACCATGAAGGCAACAAGTGTTACATTGCGATTCCTTCCTTTTGTTGTCGTTGTCATTATTATTATTTTTATTGTCTTATGTGCGTATAGCAGTTATCCCTTAAATGTCTAACAGCGTGTTTTATATATACCCGTCAGCATCCTAGAACAATGTCCGGACACACACACGCACACAAAATCTATTGACACCCTGCATCAATTTTTATCCCCGAATGATGATTGGTTGGATATTAAGAGGGTGCGGTTTGTAATGGGAAACGCCCATGATATAAGTCCGATCGGAAATGCGCAAACTCGAAAAAGCTCCAGAAAATTATATTTTCAACTTTATTGTAAAAACAATAAAATAATTTATTTTTTGTTAGAACAAAAAAAAAAAGGATCGTAGAAATAAATTTTGTGGTTTGAAAATTTAATTCACTGGGAAATTTCATTTTTTCTAAAATATAGAATATTATTTTAAATAGAACCGAAATTGAATTAGTAAAATATAATAGAAAAGCTTGATTAGTTGTTGATTTTTTATATAGTTTTATTTGATTAAAATAAGAAAAATATGGTTTCACGGATAAAAGTGTGACAACTTAAAACCCAGAAGGCTTTCTTAATATATTTCTCGACGTGCATTTTTTTAACTTTTTTAAGGGGTAGTCCTAGGAGAAGATTTTTTTTAATATTTTTTCAATGGGTAGTCCTAGGCCTAGGTCCTTTTTTTAAAATATATTTTTCAAGATGGGGTTTTTTAAATATTTTTCAAAGCGTGGATTTTTTGAAAGTACCTTTTTTAAGTGGTAGTCCAAGGCGTGGATTTTTTAAAAATATTTTTTCAAGGGGTAGTTCTAAGAGATTTTTTTTTTAAATATTTTTTCAATGTGTAGACCTAGGCTTAGGTTCTTTTTTTAAATATATTTTTCAAGGAGTAGTATTTTAAAATATTTTTCAAGGCATTGATTTTTTGAAAGTCCTTTTTTAAGGCCTGGATTTTTTGAAGGTCCTTTTTTCAAGGCCTGGATTTTTTGAAAGCACTTTTTTCAAATGGTAGTCCTAGGCGTGGATTTTTTAAAAATATTTTTTCAAGGGGTAGACATAGGAAAAAAAATGTTTTTTAAATATTTTTTTCAATGGGTAGTCCTAGGAGAAGAATTTTTTTTTAAATATTTTTTCAAGGTTTGTGTTTTTTAAATATTTTTTAAGGCATGGATTTTTTGAAATTACTTTTTTTCAAGTGGTAGTCCTAGGAGTGGATTTCCAAAAAAATATTTTTTACCGGGTAGTCCTAGGCGGGGATTTTTATACCCTACACAACTATGTTGTAAGGGTATTATAGCTTTGTGCAGCCCCAAAAGTTTGTAACGCCGCGAAATATTGGTCCTAGACCCACCTTTAAGTATACCGATCGTCATATCTCGACTAGCTGAGTCGATCTAGACATGCGTGTCCGTCCGTCTGTCCACTATAATTTGTAAACCCGATACAGGCTACAGTTATGGACCAATCTTCACGAAATTTTGCATGTAGGATGGGTTCTGGTCAATGAAGACCCCTATTGTTTTTGGTAAAAATCGGTTAATATTTAGGGGATGAAATTGACCAAAAGCTTTATTTTTGTCTGATTTTCTGGTCGCTCCAGAGAATTATGGTCCAAACATCGCGAATTTTTACAAGGAGAAGGGGATCGGGCCAAAGAATAAGCATGCCTGTTATATGCCATAGAATACAAATTTTAAAATTTTTCACACAAAAGTCAGGGTCCATTTGACCCGCTAAATATTGATCGATCTTTAATATTTAGCGGTCAAATGGACCCTGACGACTTTT